TTCACTTGGACGATTTGGATTTTGAGCCATGGCCATTTGGGTATGGGTCAAAATAAAGCCCCCAGGAAGTGGACCGCATGTTTCAGTCTTTGGTTCCACTTACCGATCGGGCCACCATTTTGGGGTTACCCACTATTTTTGACCACCACAGCCTGCCTAACGTGTGGCTAAAAATTAAACAGGAGGGGCAAACCGCAGGTTTTGGTCCAGGTTTCCACTTACCAGGGCAACCCATGTTGGCCTTCCGGTTTGAGCCACAGCCACTTGGGTGCCCAACGGGGCCCATGGTCCCTAGGAGGAGGTGGCCACCGCCCGGATCCGCGTGGGCGGCGGATGGCTGATCGCGCCGCAGGTGAGCGGCCTGGGCGAGCCGGGGCTCAACGAAGCCGAGGCGCTGGAGGTCTTGGCGGACAACCACGTAGGCGGATGCCTCACCAAGGACGGCCAGGCGCGGATTCGTTTTCGTCGGTTCCTTTTTGGGTCAGAAACCCGGGCAAAATGCGAGATCGGTTTTCGTCCAAAGTGGACAGTTGATTCCATTTTTCTGGCTCAGGAACCCCTGCAAATTTCGTTTGGAGCCGAACTGCTGGGTTTGTGGTTGGGCCTTTGCAAGAAACCAAGAACCAGGAGTTCAAATCCCATCGCCAATCCAAACCGCCAACCCAGTTGGTGCAGCCCGGTGGTTTGGTGGTTCGCGGGTGGTTCCCATTTGTCCTCTACAAGAACCAGGGTCCCTCAAATCAAAACCGCCAATGACGGGATACCTGATGTTGGGGTGATTTGATCCCGGGGCCATGTTTAACGAAGTGTCCTTATTAGCTCACAACGGATATGTGAGCCAAACTACTGAGTAGTCCGCTCCAACTAAAAGAAGAGTCCACCCATGTTTGCCCTGACCTCTTAAGCATGAATCGAAAATCCTTGGCACCCTGAGGCAGGTTGGGCTAAGCCCTTGTTCAAAATTGAATGCTGAGAACCCATGCGGAAGCCGTGATCCCATTTTTGTAAGTCTTCGACCTACTTTCTCGAGTCTTCTTGAAGCCCGAAACCACAATTCTTGGGTGTGTTGTTCAAAAGAATTACAAAGGGTTCCTCTGGTAAAATCGTTAGCCTTATCAGAAAGACAAACGAGAGCACATGCAGAGCAAGGTGCATGAGAGCACATGCAGGGCAAGATGCACCAGAGCCCATGCGTAGCAAGAGGCGTGAGAGCATGAGAGCCCGTGCATGGCAAGATAGACGCGAGAGCACAGCAATCTCGCACGAGCACACTTGCAGGAGCAAAATCGCACGAGCACACTTGACTTGCGTGAGAGATTAAAGTTATTCATTTAACACGGTGTAGTGGAACCAAACCCACTCTGTCGATGTGCAAACACTGAGACTGCTTCTGCTTTTTGACTTGCTCATGCGACCCTTTGCGTGGACTGGAGTGGTCAATGTGGAAAAACTGTGGACCTCAGGAAAACAACGACATCATCTGATTTCAATGTGTTCTTGGGATCATCCTCCCTGGTGCTGAACGGTTTGATTCCTGGATGGCTCCCGGCCATCCCAGCAGGTTTTGCAGCTTTTTAGGGTTTAGGGGTCGGTTTGGTGGGAATGTCCACTAAACTACCAAAAGTTAGACTCAAACAGCCCAGAGTCGAAATTGGGCTTGCACAAAAACCATTGGGTTGCATTGGGTTATATATATATATATAAAGAAAAACAAAAACGGGGAAAAACAAACACAGCAACTTTGCGCGGAGGTGTCCTACGGTCGCAGCCGTAGCAACTCGGTGTGCAGCCGCCGCAGCTCGGTCGCCTCCGCCCGCCCGGACAGCGCCTCTGCCTCGCGGCCCACGTCGCCGGTGTCGCCGCCCAGGGCCCCGACCTCGCCCATGACGTCACCCCGAAGGAGGCCGTCCAGTGCGTCAAGCCAGGCGGGGATCGCAAAAAAACATCTAGAAAATATGGGCCCGGGTCAGAATTAAACCACCAGGAATCGGACCGCAGATTTTAGTCAATGTTTCCATTTGCCAGGGTTCCATTTTGAGTACCTATTTTTGACCCACAGCCATATGGTGGTAGCTGCGACGTTGCCATGGCAACCTTAGGGAAATAAAGAATTGAAGCGCTAGAATTCGGTGAGAAGGCACCCTGGCAACCGTCATCCAGCCGCGGGTCGAAATTAGAGTACGATTGGGATTGCGGCTGCTTCAAATTGCATATACCATTTGTGCGCTATTTTGGTTGGATCTTTGGACTTGAACACTTTTTTGGGAAGCAAGTTTTCGGAATTGGACCCACACAACTTGATGGTGCTCATGACATGGCCCCTATAAATCATCCATCCCATAGTTTCCTCTAAGGGAATCCCCAGCTGCATTTCCTCATTCCCCTAGCTATCGCAACCAGCAAGAAGAAGTGCTCCACTTTTTGCAGAGGGCAAACGAGTCACCGAGCCACGATCCCCACGACCAAGGTCTCCCAGGTGTCTGGCCCCATGGCGGGAACGGCCACCACCGCTGCGCCCAAAGACTCCGCCAGGGTCTTGAGCCAAGCCGCATGGTAGCCGTTTTCCTCTTTTTTGTATGCATGGTAGCCGCATGGTAGCCGCCAGGGCTCTCCTTTGGTCTCTCTTTCCACACCAAGCCACTCTTTTTGGGATACAAGCCTTGACCTTCCAAGGACCTGCCAAAACAGGGTCCTTCCCGATATTGATATTGGTTTCAAATGGAAATTTGGTCAGTGGCCTGCTTTTCCAGGGTTCTGGGAGATCAAGGTAGGGGTGTGTGTGTTTTGATGGTACCCCTTTTTGGGGGTGGTCTAAAACATTTTTTGCGGTGCCCCCAAAAAGGAGACACACCGATGATGGTACCCCTTTTGGGCATGGTTTCAAGGACAAAACAGGTCTCAATGGGGGTCCCCCCATTTGGAGACAAACCATATGTATAGCCTCTTTTGCCCGCCAAATGGGTCTCAACTTTGCTACACGGATTACTTGTTTGGGGAAGGGAAACTCCCTTTCCACCCGTGAAAGCGGATGGTTTTCGCTCTTGCCTCAAGTGGGTACAGGGGATGGCGAATTAAATTTCGGAGGAATTGTGGCATCTTTTGGCAAACTGCAACTCGAACTCAACAAAAAGGCCACTGTTCGTTCAACCACACACCCAACCAACAGCGTTGCCCAAGAAGACGGATCCCCTTTTCGTCTCGGTCCGAGGAGCGGAGGCCAGATGGGCCCTGAGCGGTTCAAGCAATTGGAGGAGGAGCGGAAGAATCTGTCTCAGCGCATCTCCAATGGCCAGGGCAAGGCTCCGTGAACCCATCACATTGAAAAAACCAAACTGTTGAAACAGGTGCAATCGTATTTGTATGGGAATCTTCGTTGTTTGCTCTTTGTTTTTTGTTTTGGGTTGTCTCATGTATTTGATACACATATTCTTTTAAAAAAAGGTCCCGCTCAGTGATAGGTTGAGGGAAACACCCCCAGTTGTTGACTGTGACAAACGACAAAACAGCGTCAATCACGACCCCAAGAATCCCAACCACTCCAAATTCCCAACCCTTTTTCACCTCGCCCAGCAAGAACACAAAACCTTCCAAACTCAGACCCCAAGCATATCCATCCCCCACAAGCATATCCATCCCCCACCACGCCCGCGCCCTTCCTTCATTTGGAGGCCCCGTCGACGGCGCCCCGGGGCTTCTTGTACGGCACCTTCGTCCAGGGCAGCCACGACCGGCACCGCCTGGCCTCCGATACGGGGCCGCGGACCATGTTCCGCGTGTACCGCAGCGGGATCACCGCAGATGCGGCCCTGGACACTGAGCCGGGTGGAGAGTCGGAGGAGTCGGGCATGGGCCAAAATGGGCCAAGTGGGGGTGTCACCTTCCTTTTTTTGGATGATCGCCTTTTTGGGGTGGGTTTCCAGGGGAACAAAAGGAAGACAACCTAATCATTTTGAGGGTCCATGTTGAGCCTTCCAGGGGCATTTGCGGTTTTTGGTAGCGGCTGGGACCCCTGGATTAAAAGGACTGGTTTTCCAGGAGGAGTGGGACAGCCACGGCCACGACCATCCTGACCATGGTCACAGTCAGAAACCCGAGCGCTCGCATTCCGAGCAGCCGCAGATCGTGGTCATCCCGGCGGGCTCCGCAGTTGCGGCGGCCACGGCCGCCCGGCGCACGGGCAGAAGCTGCAGTCCCTCCCCCGACGGCGGCAGATGCACATCCAAACACTGCGCCTGCTAACCGGCGAAGGTTTCGTGGCGACTAAGGTCGCAACCATCAAGAACCTATGTACAGTAGCTCTGTTACTCTGTTTAATGTCTGACAAAGTCAAGTGCCGAACGGCATGTTGTACGTCAGGACGGCCATAAGCGCCACCCACCAGTTGACTGCCAAACGGCATGCTTTTAGTTGGGTTTTTTCAGCGGCCATACGCGCCAAGAGCTCTGAAGAGCAGTTTGCCTTAGGCATGCGGTTTAGCCCGGTATTTTCATCGCGGCCCCTCAGGGGGCGTCTTTGGGTGGTGATTTGCTGCGTTGACAAGGGCTCAGCATTTCTCCGCCAGCCTAACCAGCTTTCAACTCAACACCGGCGCGATGGATGGCCAGTCAGTTCTGTTCAAAATGGAGTGGCCGATTGGAACGCCCTCCAAAACATGTGACCATATGGACGCCTTTGCTCCCCGGGCAGAGCGCCCAACCCCCGCAACCCCCGACCCCCAAAACGGCAACTTGGGTAGGTAGAAATCTTGGTGTGTTGGGGTCGCAAAAAGGGTTTAGATAACCATCGACCCCGCTCGGTTGGTACTTATTGGGAAGCCGAAAGGAACCCAACCATAGACCGCTAGAAATGAGTGATCGTTTTTGTGAGGGTACAACTTTGCTTTGGGAAGCCGGGTTTGTAAACCACTTCTTTTGGGGTGCCCAAGACAAAGACATTTTGAGAGCCCCATGTAACCGTAGAACCAACCGCCTCGGATAGGACCCCGCTTCTTTCCAAGCGAGGCACCGGGTCCTCGTTGGCCAGATGCCACTCGCCAGAGCATGGACCGACCCTGAGATCGAAGCTGGCCGCTGGAGTGGCTCATTTCCTGGAGGCCCAGTGCCCATTTTGGGTAAAGGGAAGTACCCAACGAAAAACGACTGCTCATGTTTAGGGAACGACCTAGTTTTGCCGGGCTTCCCCACAGAGAATTTTGGAGGCTTTGAACAGCCTTGAACGGCATTTCCGGGGTCCCTCTTTTTTGATGGCACGCACAGCTCTGTGTGTTCCAGGCGAAACCAAAAGGCAGGCCCTTTATTGGTGGTTTGGGGATTTGAACCACAGGTTGTTGCGGAGGGTAAATGGGAAGCTGCCGCGAGCCTCCAACAATCGCCAATTTGGGGGTAAGATGAAAAAGGGGTTCCAGTTTTTTGAGGTGGTTCCATTGTCCCCTCTTTTGAGACAACCTCAGCTTGAGCTTGCGCACATTGTAAAGAGCTTACCCGGGATAAATTGGCCTGCCACGTGATGAAGATGTTCCGCAGAGAGTTCCTTATTTCCAGTTGCCGAACTATACTCATTTCTGTCATTTCTAAAGATGAGGACAGATTGAGTTCAAAGTCAGCAGAGATGAAAGCTGAGTCCTCATTTCCGTTCTTAGGCTTCTTGCTTCCCCCACGGGTTCCAGTGACAAAGCCCACATTACCCACCCCCAAAAAAAAAAGTCTTTTAAGGTCACCTAGTTTAGCTCTTCGGCTGTCATTGATTTGAGGATTTTCAGGTTGATTGAAAGGGAGACCAAAAGGCCAGCCCTCATATTTTGGGTCCTCCCTATAGGTACCACTTTGGCCCCCCGGTACTTTTCAGGAAAACCAGAAACTCACCCGTTTCCCCTTCCCCCCCACCCCAAAGAAATTCCATTTCCAGTAGGCAACCACAGGAACCCACTGAAAGTTAAGACGAAGGAAGGAGCACGACTCTTGGGGTGCTCGCCCCGAACCTGGGCGATCCCAAGGTCACCTCGCTGATCGACATGGGCTTTCCGCGCGAACAGATTGAGCCTGGAGCTCACAGCTAGCCCGACGGTGGAAGAAACAACGAATGGACAATGGCTGGTTGTGGGGCTGCGATTGGGTAGGGTTAACCCTTTACAACCTAAGCTTGCCAAAAAAATCAAAACTGGACGACTCGAAGGTGGTGTGTTGAAGGTATGATGGCACCACAGAGAGTTTTGGGCATGAAGCTTTTGGCATCCCCCGGGAAACCGGAAGGGATGGGTTCAGTTTGGGGTCATTCCCTCATTCCTAGAATCTGAGAACCATCAAACTACTGCTGCGAGAATCGCACATTCTGAGGCGTCGACTCCAAGATATTGATCCCGGCACTCGACCAGCAGCACACTCAGCTGCTATGATTTGTTGATGGGAAGGGCTGGGTTGCTTCTGATGCCAAACCTCAGGGAAGAGCCTGTCACGGGCTTTCAGCAGCATAGAAGTGGTTGCAATTCTGGCTCCGAGGATATTCCAACGCTCATCATGATGATGGCAGGGTCCTCAGCGAGTTTAAGGGCGCTTTTGAGGCAACTGCACCCAAGTCATTTGTGTGCCCCAAAGTGAGGCCCGCCTGTCTTTGAAACAGCGCACCTGTGGCTTGCACTTCCATTCATTCTGGATCCGTTCGTGAGGAGTGAGACACCAACTAGTTGCCAGGGCTGCAGTTTCACCGAGAGCACGCACCTTGCAGAGCATGTCCGCAGTTCTTAGGGGCACCTTCTTCCCAGCCAAGTTCTTAAGCCCCTTCCGCAAACCGGTTCTAGGAACTTAAGCGCCTTTGTTGGGGGGCCAGTGAAAAGGCCAGTGGGACCAGTGCTTTGGTTTCCCAAAGTTCGCGCGCCGCTGCCGTGAGGACGGCGACGGCTCAATGCCCCCTGCACCGCCGCCGCCGCAGGCAGAGTTGAGAGTTCCTGCGCTCATTACCAGACTGGGTGTCTCTTGAAAAATCGGAATCCCGGAACTAACATGGTGCAACCGTGTCCTTCTGGGTTTCCATTGGCGGGCCTCAAAAAACGACACCCCCAACCAAGCTTCGAACTTTGCCCTGAAAGGCGCTCAACTCCATTGTCACTTGCTAGAAAGAAGTTCACTGTTTGTAGGGTCGAAGTTTGGCCCCGTAGACCTTACTCCCCCTGTGCACCAAGCCCTAGACATTCCGGATCTATTCCAAGCTCCTTTTGGGGACGTGGAGCTGTGGTTTGCCACACCTTCGGGAGGCTTGCTTTCAACTTCCAGGGCGCCTGAGGGCAACCCCAAAATGGTTTCCCTTTTGGAACCCGAGTAGAGTCTTAGTCGCTGTTAGCCATTATTTTTCTTTTCAAACAAATGGGGCGAGCCCTTGACAATAGGATAAATCCCTGAGTTTGTTCAGCGCGGCTGTTCCCTGGTTTTAGGGGGCACGATCAATCTTGAACACCCTCTTGGCAAAACCAAACGTCAGGCGTGGGCATGTTTGTAGATCAGCAGGGTGTCTTCCCGGAAGAAAACTACGGGTATGTTGCAACATCAGGATTTGGATCTGATAATCCTGTTGTTTGAAAGCCCGGATTTGGACCCTCAAAAGTATTTGTTTGTTTGTGTGTTCTTTCCCTTTAACTTTTTGTTGAAAACGGTACCGAGCTTCAATACGAGCGAGCCACACCTCAGCGAACTCATTGCAGGCAATCCCGCCAGCGCAGCCACCAGCTGAGGACGCTCCAGGACTGCAGAAAGCGTCAACGTGGGAATCACATTTTGCTTGGTGGCTCCCAGCCATCCGGTTCCTTAGCCTTCTAGCCTTTTAGTGTTTAGTGGTAGTTTCCATTTAACCCACTAAAAGTTAGACTTCTAGCGGGGCGTTTGAGGGTCATTATTTGGGTACTGACAACCTTTGAAAAGCCTGGGGTCATTATTTTGACCCTTTCTAGGCGTTATCAAAGTCAGAAAATGGAATCGGTTGTTTCCCTTTAGCCCATCACTTAGGGGGTGACTTTGATCATGGTAAAATAATGAGGCCAGAAAGCGTTCAGCTTTGGTTGGAACAAACACATGGGTTGGGTCTATCGGGAACTCATCTTGGATCCGATTCTTCGCATTCGGCTTATTGTTGGTGAGGGGCCAGCGGTCCCCGCGGTCCGGGTTTGTAGCCCGGTTGGAGACCACGTGTTGACCCATGGCCATTTGGGTGTGGCTCAAAATTTTCAACAGGAGGGGCAAACCGCAGGTTTTGGTCCATGTTTCCACTTACCAGGGTAACCCATTTTGGAATTCCGGTTTGTTGAGCCACAGCCATATGCATACTTTTTTGCAGTGGACACAAAAGGCAGTCTACCCATTCGGAATTTGGCACCGCTCCTGGTGGTTGTTTCCTTGTTGGTTTCCCTTGAAACGCATCCAAATGCCAACAATCAGCGCACTTGCGCCGGCCCGCAATAGTTCTCAAGCCTTGGACACCATTGTGGGGAGGGGTTTCGGGCCCATGTTTGGGCTTCCAAGGTAAACCCGGAAGTGACAAAGTAGTCATGGAGTCAGGGGTGGGAATCCCTCTTTGGTATGACAGATTTCGGGTCATTCCGAAAAGCCCAGGAGTGAAGGCCAAGACGACGGCGGAGTTTCAGAGCCTGGTGGCGGATATGTTACAGGAGTGAGGGAGTACTGCAGACTGGAAACCCATGTAAGGTGTCCCGCAAAAGATTCCTGTAATAAAGCAGTGGATGGACAAAATCCGCTACTGGGATTGGTGGTCTATCCCAGCGCAAGACTCATCTATGCCAACTAGTGAGACATGGATGTTGTCCATCCACAGTACACCAGTGTTTGAAATGGGGCAAGTGAGTCAGCGAAATCGGGGGAAGGAGGGCTGAACATAGGGCGCCAAAGCTCAGTTGCCACCAAAGTCGCTGGAAGCCGCGCACTTTGGGCAACTTGTGCGGCATGGCTCTCACTGGGAAAGGCACACTTCCATGATGTGTGTGTGTGTGTTGCGACAGCGACCTTTTCACGGAAAGGAAGCCCGCCAAAGCAAAGCATGTGGCCACGAAAGCATCGCGAAGGGGCCCGTGAAAGCAACGGCACCGGCTTTTTACGCAAGTGTTTTGGGCACTCTATGGGCAGCTTGGATGGCAAACGGCAAGGGGGACTTGGGCTTGCCTGGAGAGAAAGGCAGAGCATTTGTTGGGTTGGCACAGACATTGGGGCTGCTACATTGTGGCATAGGACATTATAGGACACACGATTGCAACGTCGGAGCCGGACGAATCGCTTCAAATAGAGTTCCCTGTGCTTGGCCTTGGTTTTAAGCATCATCTTTTGCCAAAATTTCAGGTGACTTTCCTTTCCTTTTGGAGTGCTGATGTTAGGGGAGCTGCGGCTTTTGACGCGTACCCGCTTCTTAAAAGCGACCACCGGCGCTGCCATTTCGGGAGTCCCCGCGGAAACCGCGCCCAAGACGACCGACATCGCGTGCTTTGGCCAGGACCTGCTGCCGCGGATTCTGCTCTTCGGCCGCAAGGTGCCGAAGGCGGGGAGTTTTTTTTGTTTTTTACAACAACAACAAAATATATCTAGTTGTTTTTTCTTTTTCTTTTTTTCCGAAGGCGAAAAAGCGCCCAGCCGCTGGGCGAAAAACAAGCTCTACCAAGGGGGCCGGGGAAAAAGGGGGGGCGCCAGATGTTCGAGCCATGGGATCTTTTGTTCACTTTGAGTGAGTTCTATTCACTCAGTGCATCCACAAGTGTTCAACTCAATTTGTGAGCTGCAACACAGGGTCCAGCCTCCAATGAGGATCAACATGTGCATTCTGCGTCGCAGAATGCGCCGATTCCTTTTCTTGGGTCTGGCATGCAAAAAGCCAAACCTTTTTTTTGGCCAGTCTTAGCGATCGGAAGTGAGTCAAACTCATGTTCTACTCAGCTCCGGGATTCCCATTTGACGAACCTCCAGGAGGGCATGGCCCAACCAACTCCTCGCAGGCAATTCCGGTGGTGGCAGATGCCATGGCCTTCATTGCCGCGGCCTGAGATCCATGGACGCCGCGCAAGAAATTGGGAAGGCCGCCTGGGCTCCATCGGAGCCGAACTGCTTCGCCGAAAGGTGACCAGTTTCCTTGTGGGCAAGTGCGGAGCTGCTGGTTTTGACTGGGAGGGGGCATGATCGAATTCAAGCAGGCATACTTGTCCTTGGGTGAGTTTGGAGAGGAAATAGATGGATTCCGCTGGTTTATGTGGGTTTTATCGCCCATTTCCCAGGGCCGTCAGTTTTCTTCCGCAAGGGGACCTATGGACAGGATGTCATTCACACCAGGGCGTAGAGGCGGATTGCCGCTTGACAGGTGGCAGTCCCGATTCAGCTGTGGGACGGCGCGGCCCGACACCAAGATTCACCACAGCGGACTCGGTGGCAATTTCTTGCCAGGTGAAATTGGTTCACCCAGGAGAGCAGATAATGGCAGCAGCATTGAAAAGGTCGAAGTTATGAGATAGACATGCCACGTGGCAGATGAGATTGGTACAACCTATGAAGCAATTGAGGGGATTTTTCACTGCACAGCTCGAAACCATTCCTTTCAATCCCGGGGATGTTTTCCATGGGCAGCGCCTTCTCTGAGAGCAGATCTTGCCGGTGCAAAAAGAAACCGAAAAGTTGCGCGAGCCATGGATCGGGCTCCGGGGCTGAGGTGGGCAAGAACGGCACCGAAGCCAATGCGGGCTCAGTGGTACAGGCAGGAGACGTAGATTCGCAGAACGTGCAAGGACTTGGAAGGAAAACTCGCAGATGGCCAGAAACGGCGCTGTGAATCCTCTTTTGAGAGTACTCTTTTAGTGGTTTTGTGTATCTCCTATGTCAAGCGTGCAGGGCTTTTGTTGATCATTGGAAGTCCACGAAACATAAGCCACAATCAAAGCCCGGGTCGATGCAGGTCAGGGACTCCGGGGACAGTCCGAGGTATAAAAGGGAATTTGCTTGGATCTTAGATCTCTTTGCCAGTTGATTGTGACTGAGACGAGGTTTGGTCAAATTTACAGGTCTACGGTTCACTTGGGACGATATGGGGGGGGGACAAGCCCTAAATTTCGCCAGGAAACAAGCAAGGGGCAACCGAATTTCCCTCACTAAGCCTCCAACGTGGGGAAACCTTTGTAGTTTTGGCGGCTGTCGGTGAGTTGTCTGACGATCAGCAGGATGACAACCAATTTGATGACAACAAAATGAAAGCCGCAATCAGTTTGATTTTATTTCCACACAAATGATGACGCTTTGCCGGCGACTTGTCCCGTGCAGGCTTGTCTGGAGGCTCTGGGTGACGCCCCGCCACCCGACACCCTCGCCTGCGTGGCCCAGGCGCGGCGTTGTGCTCGAAACTGTCGGCGCAAATGTGGCGAGCGGCTTTGGGGAACAAAAGGATGATCATCCGGGATATACAGTGGATCCCAGGCAGCCCTATAAACCCTTGGCTATTTTCCTGTTGATTTTTCTGTTGGGTGGCAAGCCCTTTACCTTTTCAGGGCAATGGACTGACAGATGGATCTGGGATTTTCATTTCAATCACTTCCTCGACACTTCGCACGCCTCCAAATTCTGGAAGCTTCCTTTTTCTGCTTTTCAACTGCCTGTCTTGACAGGAGTTCCTTGTCAAGACAGGTGGGTTTCCTCAGTGAACCGCCGCAAGCGGCTGCAAGCGGCTGCAAGCGGCTGCAAGCGGCTGCATGCACTTTCAGGGGTTTCCACGAAGCATGATTCCTCCGGCTCGCTGGTTCAGTTTGTTTGGTGGGGAAAGTATGGGGTTTTGACCCATGGCCATTTGGGTGTGGATAACTCATTTTTTTCACCAGGAGGGGCAAACCGCAGATTTGGGCCCATTTCTCCACTTACCAGGGTAACCCATGTTGGAATTCCGGTTTTTTGGGCCACGGCCAATTGATTCCGCGTTTTTTTTTGCATTTCGGGGGCTGAGAAGTCGCTGAAGGTCCTGGCGAGCCTCTTGCACCGCCGGCAGCAGGCGAAGAAAATCGCCGGGAGTTTTTTCCGAGCTTCGAAGCGTTTCCAGCGATGTCCGGGAGTGAACCGAGCGGCTGGATCCAGTCTCGAGTTTCGGTTTCTGGTGGCTTCCCTTGGAAACCGCGATTTACGGGGGACATGTCATGTTATGGACTCAGCCTGTAACTGTAAGTTTTTTTATGATTCTGGTAAAACCAGACATCACGGTGAACAGCTTCCACCTCTGCGGAAGCCACGTTTTGGGCCATTGAGTACTGAATGAAGCAGCTCCTTAAAGTGGTTGGACATTTGCCTCCACTAAAGAAAGGGTCCGGGACCCAGGAAAATTCACGCCATATATATATATATATATGGAACCACGAGCAAAAAAAACAAGAGCTGCCCATCCATTGGATCCAACCCGAGCGCAGGTGGTGGCTGCTATTGGTACTGCCGGTGCCCAGTCGCTGCTGGAAAAACTGCAGACATGGCCCCTGACTCAGCCGGGGATTCCATCTGGCGTGTGTTTTGGTTCAGGCGAACCCTTTTGGGGTTCAAATGCAGCAGGAAAAAACAAAGCAAAAAACACGACATGAGAGGTGTTCCTTGTTGACAGATATGTTTTCCTGCGCCAAAGGAACCAGCCTACTGAAAGGACGTGGCTGGTTGCCTACAGTAACTGGTTGCTTTTCTGGGGCCCGAACAGTTCCGAGTTTGGAACCCATAGGGGCCATGGTGAGCCGTTGTTTGAGGGTGCCCCCCTCTTTTTGGCGGCTTTACAGGAAACCAAACCAAGATTTGGCAGGGGGTCACCTAAAGCCAACCCATGTAGGCCACCAAGTGGCTGTGGGTCAAAAATACGCACCCAAACTGGAACCCTGGTAAATGAAGCCAAGGACTAAAACCTGCGGTCCTCTGGTGGATTCATTTTGACCCACACCCAAGTGGTTCTTCTTTGGGAGAAACAGCTGGCTGCCAGCTGCAAGCTGAAGGTGCAGCATGAGCCTCGACTTTGACAAGCCCTCATCCGTGCGGCACTGAGAAAGGCTCGCTTCCATTTGGGTATGGGTCAAAATTAAACCACCAGGCGACTGCAGGGTTTGGTCCATGTTGCCACTTACCAGGGTTCACTCCATTTGGGGTACCGATTTTTGACCCACAGCCATTTGCTTAATTCAGAATATAGTGGATGTCCCCCTCTTGGTTCTACAGGGAATCTATTGCTGCTGGACATATTTTGACTTTGCTGGGGACTTAAGCAAATGGAGGCTCGCAGTACACTAGTGGGACACAAGTGAGCTGCAAATCAAAACGCGAAGTGAAGCATGATATTCCTTCAACGCGCATTTGGGCAAGCCTCCTTTGCCAGAGTTTGATGGTGATTCGCTCATGAGCGGGCACCTTAGTGCTTATCCACCTTATTTGCTTTGGTATGGTTTTGGGGCTGACATAGATTTGTCATTGATTAGGGTCGTAGGCTCGCCAACATTCCTCAAAATTGAGCACCCCGAAAATAGGTGTTGATCTCCAATTGAGTCACTTGACCAAAAGGGGGGTTCCATGTCCACTTTCTCTCTCTGCAACAAACTAGAACCCGAATATATCCTGCTGGCGGGTGGTCCGCCCGCCAGGGCGGAAAGATTCACTTCAACAAGAATCAAGCACACACACACACAAACCGACCCGAACGTTGTAAGCAAAGCAAAATCTCTGTGCACTTTCGCTTCGCCCCTGAGCGCGTCAGCGGATGCGAGCTAAGATGCATGAAAGGAAGGTTGCTGATGCCGTTTAATTGAAATAAATGATGTTTGTAAAGGGTCTCCATGAGAAAGCTACCCGAACAAGTTCCAGCATGCTAGGAGACCAATGAAAAATTGGCTGTGCCCTGTGGCAGGATAGACGATTCTCTTCCAGGTATGTTCACAGTGGATGATCATGCTGATCTATGGATCTACATAGGGCTGTTGGGTTGCGGCCAGAGAGGGACCTTTCCCTAAGGAGCGGGGCTATCGCCTACTGCATTGCAGTGGCAGCGGTCCATTTGCAGGACGATCTTGGTGACCCGAACGGGGAACCCATGGGTTCCTTTCGGATCATGTTCGTGTCCGACTTGGCAGTTTGCTGTCCGGAAGACGTGTGTTGCAGTGTCATCAGCTTGCAGTTGGTACAGTGACTCAGGTAACTTCTGATTCGTGGTTTGGATTGGTGGTTTGGGGATTCGAAATCCTGGCTGTTGTCCAGCAGGGCAATTGGGACACCATCCCCAACCACCAATGGGCGGGAAGCCGAGTAACAAGCAGGTGTCATGGTACAAACTAGAATTGGTCAGATTCCCGGTTTGGCAGTGACAGTCTTGGATGAATTACTTTGAAGGTCTTGGTGTGTGTGTGTGTGTTTCGAAATAGAGGGACCCGGGTTTCCGATTGGTTTTGTTTTAGAACCACCCCAGAAAGGGTGCCCTCAAAAAAAAGCACGCCACTAAAACTGGTGGCGAGTCGGAAGTTGGTAGAAACCCAAGCTGCTGGACTCTGATCCTGAGGCTCGCCCCTGGCACCTTGGCACCTTTTAAAAGGGAAACCAAGGAAAACCACCAGAATGGAGCGACACACACGCACACATCCATTTCTCATTCCATGCCCAATTCCAACCGGCATGACAAACCACAAGTTACAGGCAGTGGCTATGATGTTGAATGAGCAGCACCCTGAAATTTGGTAAATAAACTCCTTCTACATACCTTGGCGGTTCCCTGCCATCCGGTTCCTGTGGTTTCTGTTTTTTGAGGATTTAGTGGTAGTTTTCATTTGACCCAACACTACGCACTCAAATGAGTGTAGGCAGCTGGCGTCACACTCAGCTGACTGATCGAAGTGGACCTGTTCTGGTTGCCAGTGCTTTTCTTGCTGGTTTGATAGGGAATGAGTTGGAATGACCCCAAAATTCATGCCCTAGGGTTTCCTTTAAGGAAACCCCTTGCGGTTCATTCCCAAAACCCAGAAGGTCATTCCCTGAGCACCAGCAAGTGGTTCACAGCCTTTGCGTAGGTTGTTCTAGGCCCTGCATAGACGTTGCGCAGACTTGTTGCTGAACTGCGATTCTGGACCCGCCAAAGTGTGCTTTGCGTGCACTGGTATACTGAAAAGGCACCCACGCAGGCATCGATCCGCGGCACCAGGTGACACCCTAGCGTTAGCAAACAAAACGGCAAGACCAGGCTGAGGCAAATGCAGCCCAGGGTTCTCTTTTGTTGGACCTGGTTGGATCAACCTGAGCCTTTCTTCCGCGTGGTGCATATACTCTTCCGACAAGGCAAAGCAACCTGCCGTCAGGATGTCTCTCAAACTGTTGCTCGTGAGAAAATGAGAACAGCTTCCTTCCCACTCGAAGGGTACCGATCGAGCCTGGTTTCAAGGAGGGCAAGCTTGACATAAATTGGCAACTGGCACCGGAAGATTGAATCACACTTACACTCAGATGGTCCGGATCCAGTTCCAAAGATATCCAAGCTGATGCCGTTGTCTGTGTGGGGTGATAATTGGCTCCGGAACTGCTCAGCTCTGCGCCGGCAACGAGGAGAAAGCGAAACGCTGCTGGCGCCACCCTCCTGGTTCACTCCGGTGGTGGCGGGCGCCTCACGTGAGTCACTGCCCCCCAGCCCCGGCACCCCCGGCTTACGAGAGTTATGGCTATAACTCGTTGTAGTTGCCTTGGCTACGAATCATTAGGGCCACGAAGGATCTTTGGCGACCACGTCAAGGCTGGTTTTGAGCACATGCGGAAACCGCACGCCTGCTCTTGGAACGTGGCCGTCTTTGGGGTCTTTGGGCACGAGAAACATTCGGCCGCGGGAGATCCATTCAGCCCATGGGGGGCCATGTTATTTTAGTGTTTCTTTTGGTCAGGTGAAAGAGTTTATTCAAAAAAGGGCCCGCAGTCACAGTCGCCATGCCTGGAGGGAGTCAGTTTTTTTGAACATGGTTGCTTGTCTCGTTGAGATCGGGGGGCTGGTCCGATGTTTTGGTCTCCATCGGGAGACTTCCTACGTGGAGATGCGATGTGTGCTTTCTGCCCATTCAAATCCATCCACAAGGCAGTACCCACTTTGCAAATAGGGAACAATCTAAGAACTCAATCATGTACCTCCGGGGAAGTGCCATAGGCATATATGAAGGCCCGAATGTTTACATGGTAGAGTTTCTAGGCATACTGCAAAAACTGTAAGTCACCATACCCTGCAAGGCATGTTGTTTTCAACTTTTTGCCGGGGGGGCTGCCCTTGTTCGAAATGGTTCGGCATGGTCTCCACTGGACTTCTCTAGATGGCTGGTCTTTGTGACCGAATCTCCCCATAGATCTTTGGAAGCGCAAACTCCAACTACAACAGGTGATCGACCTTTTGACAGTTTTGGTAAGGAAAGAGCAGCTCCCTGATATGTTTTTTTGCTTCACCCTCTTTTTTCCAATGGTTCAAAGGGAACTAAACACGGAACCCCTCCCATTTGGGAGATCCCCCGAATCGGTGCGTTTCAGCCGTTTTCCGAAGGTCTGCGCCCATCAGCTGCTGTCGAAGGCACGGCCCAAGTTTCTGAAGCCCCTACTCGGGTCGGCGAACTTAGTTGGGAGTTGGGTAAGAACTCACCAGGTTTCGGGGCTGTGCATGGACGAACTCCTGCACCTTGGAAACCATGGGAAACCAATTTTTGTTGGTATTTACAGGGAAATCATCATTCCAGGGTTTCTTAGGTGGTGCAGGATTTCGTGCATCCACAGTATCCCTGTCATTAGTGGGACCAGCCATGGTTTACGATGGACCATTTTGGCGGTAAGCTTGTTGCAAGGGTGGTCATTGGCAGGTGGAGCTGGTGAAGCTGCGAGACGGCGGAGAGGTGTGGCGTCGTTTTGGCGTATCACCATCCCGGTGCATTCCAGGTAAGCCCATTCCTTGTTTTGGCAGTTTTTAGTGGGTGACTGCCTTGGTTGCCTAAGAAAAGGGAATCGCTGAAATCATGCAGTTTCCCGGAATCGATGGGTTCCACTGGTTTAGATGGGCTTTATGCCCCATTTGCCAGGGCCATCATGTTGTTCCAAAAGGCCGCCTATGTTCCACAGCCGCTGAGATTTCTTTCTGTTCAAAGCCCTCTCCAATATGCTCCAAAACCTTCTACCATGGTCCTATTATCCTCTTATTCGTCCCCCTTGTTCCAGTCATTCTGCTGTCCTACTTACATATCCCGGATGGCCCCTGCACAACCCCTGTACCGGGTTTGGATTGAAACTGACTCCTCCCCTTGTTTTTTTTTTGTTCTATATTTTTATCCCAACACTCCAAGGATGATCCATCGAACCAGCAAGGGGAAACGGGTTTTGCAGCATAGCAGACGCAGCCCACGCGTGGAGGCCTTGGAGACTGAGACACAGAAGACCTGGGCCCCGGCCTTGACTTGGAACATTTGGCGTCAGCAGGTTGTGTCCCACTTCTGTACCAGGGACTCTTGGAGAATTCGGTTGGAAGGCACGCACGTTGAGGGATTTCTCAAGCACCTCTTGGAGCTTGCCATCCTTTTAAGCGAACACTGACTGCAATAAGATGGCAGCGAATCTTATTGTGACCCCCTTAAGGGTGGTTGCTGGTCAATTTGGCCACTGGAAGCCGGGGATGCGAGTGGTCTGTTGTCAGTGGGCAACATTGGAATGGCCGCAGCCATGAGCCAATCGGCACACGCTTCTGGGCATCAGCAGTTTCATGGGGGTAGCGAGACCTCATCGGAGACAGGCACATGGGCAGTGTTTCCCTTTTCAAAGGGGTGCCTTCCTGGTCGCTTTGGTTTCCATATCCCTCTTTTCGGGCGATAGACCTGCTTTGAGACAAGTTGACTCCAGGCAAGTGGTGTTAGCTCTGACAGCGAGCTTGAGCCTTCGCCCTCAGCCGCTTCACAGATGCCAGAGCAGATGGGCGCCCGGACAGGGCAAGCATGGCATGTTCGCATGAATATCGTCCTCCGTGACACCGTTGTGGAGGAAGGCGTTATTGGTGAGAATGGCCTCCCGTGTGGAAGTCCCATCGGCTACACCACAGCACGTGAGTTCAACCAGGCTTGTGCATTTGCCATTAGAGGCTACTTGCGTCATCGCTTTGGGCTTGAAGTGCGTGAGCAAGAAATCCAGAAATTGCAGTGGGCAAGCCCTCTTCCAGGCGCTCTGTTCCATGAATATGAAGAGCTCGTGAGGATCCCAGAGGAGGTCAGCGGTGTTTATGCGTCGGAGGATCCTTTCGAAAGCGACGTGGAGCTATACAGTGGGGACGAAGAGATGTTGAAAGCGCAGTTTTACGCAACCCGCAATTCCGCTGCCGCAGACAGATATTGCTGCCACAACAGGTCTCAGGGAGGAATGGTACCTCAAAGACAAACCGCTACGTGCGGGCATCAGCAGTTTGATGGTGGCGAGGCCTCTTCAGAGACACAGGCACAAGGGCAGCTTTTTTTGTTTTGGCTTATATAGTGTTTCCTTTTGAGGCGAAGGGGCATTCCTGGTCGCTTTGGTTTCCACATCCCTCTTTTCGGGAGAAGACCTGCTTTGAGACAAGTTGACTCCAGGCAAGTGGTGTTAGCTCTGACAGCGAGCTTGAGCCTTCGCCCTCAGCCGCTTCACAGATGCCAACTGAGCAGATGGGCGCCCGGACAGGGCAAGCATGGCATGTTCGCATGAATATCGTCCTCCGTGGCACCGTTGTGGAGGAAGGCGTTATTGGTGAGAATGGCCTCCCGTGTGGAAGTCCCATCGGCTACACCACAGCACGTGAGTTCAACCAGGCTTGTGCATTTGCCATTAGAGGCTACTTGCGTCATCGCTTTGGGCTTGAAGTGCGTGAGCAAGAAATCCAGAAATTGCAGTGGGCAAGCCCTCTTCCAGGCGCTCTGTTCCATGAATATGAAGAGCTCGTGAGGATCCCAGAGGAGGTCAGCGGTGTTTATGCGTCGGAGGATCCTTTCGAAAGCGACGTGGAGCTATACAGTGGGGACGAAGAGATGTTGAAAGCGCAGTTTTACGCAACCCGCAATTCCGCTGCCGCAGACAGATATTGCTGCCACAACAGGTCTCAGGGAGGAATGGTACCTCAAAGACAAGCCGCTACGTGCGGGCATCAGCAGTTTGATGGTGGCGAGGCCTCTTCAGAGACACAGGCACATGGGCGATTTTTTGATGACTTCATGGCAAGTACTTTCTTCGCAGCGGCAGCCATTTCTTCAGATTGCAGAAGCACGAGTCGTGAACCTTACCGAGAATCCGTTGCCATAGTGACCCGTGGTGCCAGGCTTGATGTCAAGCTGGCCAAGCGCAAGACGAGCAGTTCTGATTTGGTTTCTCTTTGGATACCCGGGCACCGGTGTGAAGGCAGTGTTCTCACATGCTTCAACGTCCTCAAGCAAACAAACCAGGCAGCGGAAGTTGTCGAGACGTACGGCAGGCAGCTGTTGGCTCGTTCCCCGCAAGGGCATATCTTTGCTGAGGACATGTCTGGCTGCTTCTGTGGAACTTGCATCATGTCTGAGGCAGAAGCGAAGATGCAGCTGCACCTTCAGTTTGATCGCATCCTTTGTTCCCTGACCTTGGCAGAGCAAGACTTGAGAGATCTTGAAAAGAGAGGTTTGGGTGAAGACTACATCAACGCAAGTGGTTTTAACACTTGGCGGGGAGGCTCCATGCAAATCCCTTATTTGCAAAGCCGGACAGAGGTGGCGCAAATGGACATGCGCATGAAACCTGCATTGTTGATTCCAGCCCGTGACGCGCAGGGCTTCATCACTGCACTTCACATCAAACCGCATCGGGAGGAGAACAAGATTGATGAGACTCCAAAGACTCCAAAGTATATGTGGGCCAGCAGGGCCGGTTCATTCAAGATCCCGATCACCGACAAAGCCTGCGAGAGAAAAATCGAGATCCCGCTGTTCTGTTGCCGGTTCCAGGACCTGAGATCTAAGCAAATCGCCTTGATCGAGGGTGGCCTGAAGCCCCATGTCTTTGCGTTCCTCGCCCGCATCAATGTCATCGGTGCCGCCGGAGGGCAGTTTGCGCAAAGCAGGGAGCTACTCTATGCTGCCCTCGCGCAGATGGGTGTGGAGACAATCGTCTTGTATCCAGACGCAGGCTCAGCCAGTAATGCAAACGTTCTTCTTGGGTATTTCCGTGCTTTTCACATGATCTTGGTAAAGGACAAGCTGGGTCTCACGATACGTGTCGCATGGTGGGGCCAGAGAGACAAAGAAGAACATCTCGATGCCGACGATTTCCTCAGTCAGGTGAAAGATGCAGATAGCAGCTCCATGAAGCAGATCTCCATTGCTGAGTTCTGGAAGAAAGTGCCAGCGGCGTGCCGCGACGAACTACTCTGCGGGCGGAGGGGGGATATGTTCAAGGAGGTATTGCAGCATTGCGCCGCTAGTGAGTGACATAGTCTCACGCACTTTGTGCCTGCCATGCGGGGCAAACAAATTCAAGCGTCATATGCTGCAAGTGCTTGCACCTTGCACACGAGTCAAACCCCAAGTCATGGTCCATTCCAAGGTCCTCAGAAGTGACTACGTTTGGCTGAAGAGACTATGAGCACCACAAACCAGCCAACAAGCCCAAACGGACATTTTTTTTCAATCTCATGTTTTGTTGGAGAGGACAGTCAAATTGTGGAATTCCCACAGCGCAAGTTCGGGCTACCCGAAAACACCATCTGGCAAACGAGTCGCCAGATATCCCCAAGTTCTGCCCCCCCAAAAAAAAATCAACTATGCCGGAACCACCCAAAAGCGTTGTTTGTTTAGGGGCTCAGGCCTGTTTTGTCTTGTTTGTCAAAGACGGTGATCTGCAACGTACGCATCACCAGCTTTCTGTAGACTGAGGTGAGCTTGATCATGGACATCATCTATGGCTTTCCCGGGCTGGACGGAGGTTTGACCCAGAGCTGTTTGCAAGCTGCGCCCTGAGGTCGACCGATTTGTCGAGCAATGGCCTTTTTCTCTGGCGTGTCAAAAGGGAGGGCCTTTGATGGATTACGGATTAAGAATACCAACCAGAACAAGGATTAAGCGGATTACGGATTGTGATTCGGCCCCCAGGATTTTGGACAGGCTAGAAGGATCAGACATGGGACTCAAGGGAAGATCGCAACAAGATCACATGGTCAATGGAGGGACAGGCACTCTCCCGTGAGCCCTTCCCAGAGGGGGGGGTCGCGGTTTTTTGAATGGTTGCAGTAGCTGTGTGCAAAGGCGTTTGGGAGCCCCAAGGCTCGTGAACCTGATTGTTTCGGGGAGACAGCGGCAGGTTGGCCAGGTCCATCCTATATGGTTATTATACATATATATATATATACATACATATATATATATATGTTTACATACATTGGTGTGTCTCTTTTTGGTGTCCTTCTTGGGGTTGGTTTGACCCATATCCTTGATCTTCCAGGACCCTGGAAAAGCAGGCCTCTGGCTCAATTTGAAACCAACATCAATATCGGGAAACAAACCCTGTTTCGGCCAGGTCCGTGGAAGGTCGAGGTATATAGAATCATCTATTATGTATGTCATATATATAATTATCTATATGGCTGTGGCTCATAATTATACAGGAGGGGTTACGCAGGGGTTTTGGTCCATGTTTCCACTTACCAGGGTTCCGTTTGGGTATATACCGGTTTTTTGAGCCACAGCCATATAGATGATTATATATAAGGTCAAGGTACCCGCACGTCTTCTTCTCGCCCCGCCGAGAAGTCCGCGAGGTCTTGACGCGGATTTGCGCCACGAGCGTGGGCAGCAGCGCGCTGGTGTCCTACCAGCTGAACCCCAAGCGCGGGCCTTGGGCTGAAGCCAGTCTGACTGGCTTCGAGTTGTCTTGGTGCTTCCAAAAGCCATCCGGTTCTTTAAGTGTTTAGATGTTCTTAGTTGGTGAAAGGCTGGATTTGTATATGTAAGCCACTAAAAGTTGGTCAAACTCTTAGCAGGGGATCTGAAAACTGACCGCCCAGCACTATTGACCCAGGATCCAAGTTAGAACCCGGGGGTGTTCGGGACACCCCCCTTTTACTCAACCAGGGTTTAATTATTTTGAGGTCAAAGTTTCGGGAACCCCGGATTAATCAACCCCTGGTCGGCTAAAATTGTGTGTGTGTGTCCTGTTTTAGCGGTGCTGGGAGTTTCGGGTCTAAGTAGAACCCCCAGCTGGTTGATTTTGATTGGAGTGTGTGCTTTGTGGTGATTCATCACTCATAAATCAAGGGCAACACCCCAAAAAAGGGGGGCGGGTGCAACAATCTGTCGACATGTTGCAATCACACCGAAGCCAAATCCGAGCCCTAGGACGGCATATTTGTGTGTTTTGCTTGGCCGACATTCGCGGTGGGGCAGACACCATGGATCGAGCCAATCTCTTCAGCTGGTCTCTTTTGTTTGCTTATAGAAAGTTCTGCAGCCAACAAAATGAGTCTATGGCCAGCTCGGGTGGGAGAAGAAGTGGGGAGGGCCATCCCGCCATCCCCATCTTCCCAGAACGGAAAGGACTCGATTTTGTTCCAAGCAAAAAAGGGCATGCATGGGTGTGTCTGCTCAGCGTTTCGCATGGGCTCAACAGTACACATGTCTGTGCAAATTGCTACCCCGTTGGGTTGTAGGGAAACCGAAATCCGGAAGGTCTTGGGGATTTCGCAGAGCCCTTCGCTTTGCCAGTGAAAAGCGGAGGTTCGATCCCACAAAAGCCATGCATTGCGTGCCTCCGCGAAATGGATGTAACCAAGCAAACCGAGGCCCTTCTCACCCAAAGGACACCAGCACTTTACGCGCCCTACACTTGACACAAGCAAGCACCTTCCACATGGATCGAGCAACACTTTACGTCACCCAGCCATGGTGAAGCTTGCCTTTGAATGCCCAGAAGCGGTGCGCTCTGGTTGGCCCTTCATCCTGTGCCTTGGGTTAGATTCGTTGGGCCCATCCAATGGGTCTGTCTGTCCTTTTCTAGAATTACACCCGTCCAATGGGTCTGTCCTTTCCTTTCCTAAAGCAACACCGTATTTTTTCCGGGGGTCCAAGCTTGAACAGACACAACCGAATTTTCAAAACCAAACCTGCCCACCCAATGCTTGCCCATCCGATCCTGTGTTTTGCTTGAACTGCTATCTTATATCTCAAGAGATGGTTCTGTCTCAAGGGATACAGTATGCCGAAGAGACTTGTGCCTGGCAATCCAAAACGGCGAAGGCAGAAAACAGGGCGCGGCATCAAGCGGAGGGATAGTTAGGCAGTGGGCAAAGCCCAAGTGTTCCCTTCACCAAGGGCTGCATTTTTTTCAGGGAAACCTCCTTCAACATCAAAGGTTGTCCCACCCATTTGTTTGACCAAAATGTCCCACCCGATTCATATCGCATGTTCTTGGGACCTGGGGAAGAACATGTAGTTGCACCCGTTCCTCATGTTATTCTGGGGAGCATTTCCGGGATAGCTGTATTTTTTTTTTCTTGTGCGGTGATCCTTGTAGGGCGTTTGAGGTTGACAGCGAAGCAGCAACACGCCATCAAGGTTCGTACACTGATTCCCAGCCATGCAAGGGAAGCCATTGCAACCTAGGCACTATCAGTGACTAAAATCGGGGACCATTTTCCGGCCCACATTCTCCAATGGCTTCCCTTGCTATGGCTCTGAAACAGCAAGGAAAACCCCGGATTCATAAACCCATCCTACCAATAGGTCAACTACTGAGACCTTAATTGACCGTGGTAGAGATGTACTTTGTTGGGTCAAACGGCACACACTCCACAGTCAATTGAAGGATGGCCGAAAATGACGAAGGAACAAGCAAGTGAGGTACACCCTACGGCCCGAAGTGATTACGTTCAGCGTTGAGGGCAACACAATTGAAGTACATCCTGTGGTCCTATGGCCAAAAATATTGCCTTTATTGTTCAAGGGAACACACAATAGATGTATACAGCCTATGGTACCCAAAGTGACTAGGTTCCTTAGTCAATGGAACCCGCAATTGAAGTACACCCCATGGACCAAAATGATGTTGTTAATCGCCCAAGGGACACAATTGAGTACACCCCACATTATGTCGGAAACGCACAACTAACGTGTCAGCAAAACAAAATAGGGTTTTCCAAAAACGAGACCTTGACATGATCTCGGTTGCTTCAACTACCGATATCCGCATCATGTGGTGCTCATTTGAAACGACCATCCGAATAAGGACGTTTTGCTCATGCACAGATTGGTTCGCCTCCAATGGTTTGAAGTGTCATGTTTTCACTTGATCCCTTCAAAGTGATCCCTTCAAAGGAGCCAGGCGCAGCCCCCAACGACTTCAGCGCTCCTCTCAAGCCGCCGGTCCCACGCAGGCATGTGCTCACCTGCACGGATGACATGGAGATGGAAGCTTCTCTCCGCCAGCGGGTGTTGCTTCTTTAAAGCTTTGGATGGATGGGTCTCCCCCTTGTGCTAGGAGACAATTCTGTCATGGTATGGAAAGCTGTTGTGAAGCGTGGTTGGTGCACCTCCTCCCTTCAGAATCATTGGCCCCCGAAATCAAGTGCTTTTGTTTCCCAAGGCCGCTGGAGGCTTGGGCGTGGAAAGTGGAGTTTGGGCGTGGAAAGTGGACACCTTCTGTGATACCAAGGAAGGAATCCCGTTTCAAGTGAAGTCGTAAGGATGGGAATCCTTTGTGACAGAAACGGCAACTTCCCGCAACCATGTGCACAGGACATGAAAGGACGACATCAACCCTCCGAGTAGGTTTTGGAGATCCATAGGGATTCAATTGGACTCATGCACATAGGTGTGCTTCTAGGTGAGTTTGCTTAGACATAGATGGCACCGGTTTAGATTGGTTTTACTCCATTTGCCAGGGCCATGGATTTCTTCAAAAATGCCACCTATGCTGATGCCCCTTGCGTAGCAGCGAGCCGGGATTGTTCAAGGGCTCGTTGTGAGTTGTTCGGCTGCCGGCCGTAAAGTGGGTGTCTTACATGGAAACCAACCGGAAACCAACGAGCCGCCTATAAAAGTTTGTGAAAGGGGTTCATATCATGAGGCTCCATCAACATTTCTTGGGTCGTCCATATTTCCCACAAAAACCCGGGGACACGGAAAACAACAAGAAGACCACATTTTGGGGGGCCCAACAACTTAAAAGACGAGACCCGAGGACAAGTTCTACGACGATCACCTGCAACTGGAGCTCCTGGAGGGCCATGGTCATCTACGGGGTGAACTGCGAGAGTTGGCCTCAGGCGCTGTCTCCGGACGTCGGGCTTGATTTCTTTTTGGCTTCCCGAAGCCAAACTGGGGTGCCCTCGAAGATAGACGTGTGTCTCGAAATGGGCGACTCCCCAAGAAAGAAGCTTTGAGATGTGGGATTAATATATTGCTTGCTATTGCAATGACAGCTACTGTGACTCACACTGGCTGGCCATTGGATGTTCAGTTCCCCGTGACTCAAACTAGGGGACACCCCCCCCCAAAAAAAAAGAAGGAAAAAGAACAGGGAGTGTGGTTTCGTGTCTTAAAAGCAGGGACTCGGGAAAGAAAATGGGCAGAGTTTGCTTGGCTATGTGTTTGCTTAGCATTCATGTGGTGCCAATAGAGCGACTCTAAGTGGCTTCGGCATCCCTTTGACATCCCTTTCCCATGAATTAAGAAGACACACTCAGAACTTGATGTTTCGCAGTCCGAGCTTTTAACAGCGGTCCCAAGATGTACGAAGCACATGACAAGTCCAAAGAGGTTGCGTGTACCATCAGGTAAGAGTCTAGAATTGGCCCTGTGTTGGTCTCCCACCCCGGGTCGCGCGAACGTGACAGTGTTAGACTTCTCAAATAAGGAAGTCAAGTCCTGATCGGCATTTTGCGCACGCACGCCTGCGAGATGAGTGTTCAATGAACACGATCAAGCTGGAAGAAACAGCGGGTTGAGTCTTGAGCCTTCGAACCATGCAGCTTAGCTTCAACCACAACCAGCGGGACAGACACCTGTTCCCATGTCCATTCTGGATAATGCCTCAGAGGAAGAAGCAACTGGGGGAGTTCTTGCTTTTTTTTCCCCCCCGAGAGAGTCCCCTTGATTCTTGATGTTTGGTGTTTTGCTAGTCAGGGGTTAACATTCAGATTCGTTCATATGGGTTTGTCTCAAAATATCGGGAGCTGCCAAGATGGGTTCACTTCCCTTGTGACTGCCAAAAGAGTCTCCTTTCAAGCATCTGACTGCGTTGATCTCTTTGCGATTTTGGGGTGTGCACCAGAGCGAGAAACAGTCCCAAGGATCTTTTTAGATGAAAGGCTCAAAATAGGCAACCCTTTCTGGGATTTGATTGGGACCCAGAGGGGCAGCTAGACACCTGCCAGACTTGCTACCTTAGCAGTTTTATATTTTTGTTTTTTGTTTTTTCAACATTTGAGCTTTCAGAAAAAGACACGAAAGTTCACTTTTAGAGCAGCAGCGCACGGGAATCCTTGGGAAGCCCACGCAGGAAACACTTGCCCCGTGGAATTTTGATGACAAAGGCATAGGTTCCCTGAAACGTGGTTCCGTTTGGCTTTGTCCCTTGGGGCCTTCTGACACATGGGTGGGTCTTCTTCTTTTTCCTTCTCGGGGACCCCCACAAATGCTGGCTGTCCTTTTGGTGTCCCTTTGCAACCAACCAAAAGGGGCTTCTCCCAAAAACACGAGAGACCCACGTAGGTGGACAAGCAGACTTCCTGAACCTGAGCTACGAAGGGCGAGGACTCCGAGCGGCGACCTCTGGTGTGTGCGGTCATGGGCTGAACCTCGGGAACCCGAGGGTCTATGGGAAGGATTGCT